AAATAATGTGAAAATAATAAAATGAAATATTTTAAAGTAAATCGAAATTAACTATGACAAAATCAAATAAAAGTTAAAAACTAAACAGACAAATACATACTTTTTATATAATTAAAAATGGTAATAAATACTAAAAAACATTATTTTTATAATAAACAGCAAATTTAAAATTTAAGAAGCAATAAAAAGGCACAAAGTATTGATTTGAGTATTGTGGACATTTTCTTAAGTATTGAGTGTTTAATTACTTTGCTAAAATTAAGATTTAATTAACTTAAAATAACAAATTTATTTAAATTATATGAAAAATTAAAACACAAGCTTTTAATTTTAAGAAAAAATAATAATTTTACAATAAAACATTTTTTTATATGTATTAATTATTGTTTAACAGTTGCTTTGTTTATTAGTTGTCTACTATCTTTTTTATTATTTGTTAATTTTAGCATAATGAAACTTTTTGTTTCTTTTTGATTATTTTTTCCGTATTTTTTGTTAACTTAAGTTTGGGTTTTGTTGAAAAAAATCATATATTTTTATATTCAATTTACTAACTTACAATTGACTTATTATAAAACTCGGTTTGCCATAGTGAAGGAATGAAAACAAAAATTGTTTGCATTGGAAAAAATTGAAAAAATGTTCTGTAAAAAAATTCTGTTAGAAACATTTAAGAAATTCTTTTGAAAAAATTTAAAAGAATTATATAATAAATACTTAAAAAAATAAAAAAAATAATAATAAATGCGTTAAAAGGAATATCATTTCATAGAGTGCAGTAGACTGTAAATAATAATGTATACATGCATAAAAATGAGAACTTGTTACAATAATAAATATAATTATAGTTAAGAGTTGAAATTAAAAAAAATATAATAAAATAAAACAAAATATATAGATACATACATATACATAATTATATTTGTATAGTTTAGTATTTAGTACTTATGTTTAACCACTTAACACATATTATATAATGTATGGCTAAGTATATAAATACTTTTGAACAAAAACGTAGTTATACACGCGTACATACTCTACACACAAACATATATCACAAATAAAATCAGATTTTATTAAATACAAGATACAAGTTGATTGTTTTCATTMAAAAAAAATTGGACTTTCTACTTCTTTAATGCTGGTCAAACATACCCAGATCCCTTTTTGTTATGTGTAAAACTTGAAATCTTGTTATAATAACTCTTAGGTTGATGGGTCATAAGACTGAACCCTTTTGTATTGGATCATGCAGGAATTTTTTTGCTTGGCGAAGGCTATTACCTATTCCTTCCGCTCTTTCCGGAGCTCTTAAATGCTAACGTTTTACCGCCTGGACATCCGTCCATCGTATTATCGTCTCTCGGAAGAGTGGCAGCGTTTCCACGACAGTCGTGTGGATATAAGCAGAAGGAATTTTTTCATATTTTTAGGGCCAAGTGCTGCCAACTCTGTAGAATTCTACAAAAATATTTCAGGATTGTTTTCTGCCGTTACGACAACATTATTTATTTAATGAGACTCACACACCAAGTTGTTATTAACTTTTCTTCGTCAAACCTTTTCTGAGTTTTCGCAGATTACATATGGAGTGATGTGAGCTCTAGAACCACCACCGCAACCGTTTGAAACGAGTACTTGACTCCTGATGGGAACACCCAAGTCAATGTATCCATCGATTGATTGAAAGACACGCTAAGCCAAGATACTGCACTGGATGTAACTATTGATGTGACAATCAGGGTGTATATCTTTTTCTTCTTTGCTGGCATAGGCAATACTTACGCGGTTATAGTCGCGTTAACTACAGCGCGCCAGCCGTTTTATCTTTTCGCGTGGCGCCAATTGCAAATTCAATGGGAAGCCAGATCCTTCTTTACCTGGTCTTTCCAGCGGAGTGAATGTGTTCCTCTTTCTCTGGTTCCCCCGGTGAGGACTGCGTCGATTATATTCAGAGCTGAGGTGTTTTCGTCCATTCGGACAACATGACCTAGCTAGGCTAAACACTGTCTTTTATTTCGTCGTATATCTCATACAGCTGATCGTGCCATCGAACGCGATATATGTACCTTAAAGCTTGCGTCGACTAATTAGATGTTGTCATTGTCCATGCCTCTGCACCATATAGCAGGACAGGAATAGTGAGTGACTTATAGAGTCTTGTTTTTGTTCGTCGAGAGAGGACTTCACTTCTCAACTACGTTGGTTTTCGTCGTGGACATTGTTGTTGGTGTTGATACTGGTTTCAAGATAGACGAAATTAACTACKACTACGATGTTATGAATGTCAACAGTGACGTGGAAGCGAGTGCGACGACTATTTGTTTGTTGACAGGAAATATTTCGTCTTGCCTTTGTACAGGGGGTATATATGTACATCTTAGTATTTCAGGATTACTGCCTAGCATTTAACTTGATTTGAAGAAGGTATATGCTTAACTTTATACAAATAACGTGGAGTATGGTCTGTCATTGATATACTTTATATATGAGATTACTCAAGAAGCTCTCCATATTTCCAGAATATATCCTGAACTATTCTTCAACAACCTAAATAAGCAARGCCGGAGATACATTCCCGCTGTTGAACGAAGTATGTCAGCATAATATTGTCCGTAAAGGTTTCAAATTAAATTACGTGGGTTTCTGGAAAGTGTGTACTCTGTAAAGAATATGGAAGACACTGGGAATAWTATCCCCTATTTACCCATCACGCTTTATTTTATGGAGTGGTATGTGCACTTAAATCGACTGCATTGATGTTATTCGAACGGTTAATGAATTCTGTTCTGGGTGTTCGCATTGAAAACGGAGAAAACCGTTAACTTTGACTACATCGAAGCTGTAAAACTCTCCATATGTGCAGTGTTATAGCGAAAAAGGGTAAAAAAAGTTCTCTGTCTTGATTTGAACCGGTTAGTTTGTATAGCAGCTATGTGCTATAGTGGCCCGATATCGGAGGTTCCAACAAATGAACAGCTTCTTGAAGTGAGCGAAATATCGGATCGATCGTGACAATACCGCTGATTTCWTCAATAAAGATATTAGCCCCTTGAAAAAAGCATTTCCGCAAGAGTATGCAACATCAAATGAAAAAATTTTTTTGAATAGAAAAATAGGTACATTTTTAATCTTCATATAAAGACCGAACATTACCGCTTAAACGTTGCAAGTACAACTTTTTTATTTTGCACATAAAAATTTGTAAAAACTTTTTCGTATTCGTATTTCGCGGTATTTTTAAAAATAACTGATGTCACATTATTAGTTACGACGATTTCAATTGCATGTTATTCTTTTTTCGTTTGATCTTTTTTTATGGTTTTCGCAATTTGTACAGCTTTTTCGAGATTTTTAATACTGGCATCCAGCGTACCCTCCACTTCTAACATTTTTTTACGCAATAAACGCAGCTTTTCTCTTTGCTATCGATAAATCAAATGGATTAAACGAAGAAGGGATTATTCTTAAAAAATATATGTGGATATACCTCTTTAAGAAAGTAAATATTTTCTTCTGCTTTGCCTTTGTCTTCGAAATTCGTAAACATTCTGAAAATTAAAGTCTTCGTAAAAAATATTGAAAAAATATTCATATTTTTAAGTTTACCGAATCGTTTCCAACATAACCATTCTGCTTCTAACATTCCAAATTCGACAGTGGGAGGGCAGCATCATTTGCGGAACGAATTTAATTTTGCCAGAAATATATCCAAATCAGAAAGGATTTTATTTAAGAAGTTTACGAAATAAATTTTGTCTTCAAATTTTAGCTTTTGTTTACTAAAAGGTTTTCTTTTAGAAAAAGTCAAAATATTTCAAATTTTGCCAAAGGGTTCCCAACGCATCAGGAAATACATATGAACTTAATCATTAATTTCACTAAATGCATACCCCTAACCCGGACACTTTGGCACATTGGTATTGTAAGAAACGAATGGCTGACCATTTGGATGAGGAAGCGCCGACCACAAAGCCGATAGGACCAGAGCTTTTCTTCGTAATTTATCCACATTATCCACAGGAGATTTGAAAGAAAGAAGAACGAGAAAGCTTCTTAACTAGTTGTAAAAGTCCAGACTTCGACAAGTGAACCTCAATCTGAAGTGAAGAACCTGGCCAAATTCAGATATATAATCGTTCTCCCCAGACACAATCCAGGACAGTTTTTAACTCGTATACTGGCCGAGGTTCCACTATAATTGTCTGATCGAAAAAATGCTGTCGTTTCTGTGAGCACTTGTTGGAGACACCGGAGCATTAACTACTTGATTGTCATGAAATTATAAGAAATAGGGGCCAAGTCATCTGASCTTTCCATTAAGAGAACTTGTTGACCTGGATCTGCCTGTATGCACCTATGTAGGTTGGATGATGCGATGTTAATGGAACACTATATTATATAATCTGGAAGTGAAAACCTGTGGAGATAAGCTCTAATTTGTGGTGCTGTCATTGCAAGAGGCATATAATAACGGTTATCCTCTCTCTCACTCTCTGTTTGGATGGTAAGGTTCAAGATGTTAATTATTGAAATCATCTAACGGGAGGCTCAKKAAACGTACTGTTTCGACGGATTATAGGGAGAGGATCATTAGATGAATATGATTAATTGGGTAAAAAAGGTAGAGTTTAGTGTGCTAAAATATTCAAAACGAATATATCAATCTAGGTAATTCAAGGCCTTCGCGGGCAATGAGTGGTGGTTCGACTCCAAGTATGGCAATCACAAGATGAGAGGCGGYAAAGGTGTTAATGACTCAACTGTAAATGATGGTAAGTGGGTGTCTGACGTTAGTTGTGTCTGTAGTCTGGTCAGCATATAGCAAGTATGTCCTCTTGATGTTCTTATGAGGTAGTTCCACTTCAAGCCGATTACCCAAGACAAAAATTTTTGTAGAAGCATCTTGGTAGAGATTGCTGAGGTAGGAGAGCATAATGCATCTCAACCGGAATGAATGAGCTAAGTGGCGTCATACCATTGGCTCTTCTYCCTAGGGATACCAAAAAGATAAACTTCACAAGGAAGTTTAAAATTATCCTCAGCTGTAAGGTCGAATGGAGCGACACCGCTCTCGAGTTACTGCTTAGTAGGCACAGTACATTCAAGTCGTACATCGATGRCTCGAAAACRTAGGAGGAAGTTGGCGCAGGAGTAACACGACGATGCACAAAACTCTTTATACTTATGGGTAGGTCTCCGAGCATATTCCAAGCAGTTGTGTTTGCTATAAGTCGGTGTGAAGAGTACGAGATAAATACGCGATTGGTGCAGGAGTGTATGGATATTTATATCTGTACTCTCACTTCCAACGGGAGAACTCAGGCTACTTGTCGCCTTCTACACTGGCCATTGCAAGCTCATAGGCCTGGCTTCTTGTGCAAATTKCCGGTTCTGCGTYTAAGAGTTTGAAACACCAGMACACCYGCTAATGGACTGCACAGCAGTCTGTAGGCGGGGGATTAAGGCCCTTAGATCCATATTTCCCAAYAGGGATCAAATCGCCTTAATAGCACCTAGCTGTATATTGGAACTTATTAATTTKTTGGGGCTAGTTGAGACGTTGTGACTTAAGAGRTGACAGAATAGACCCYARGTCGCKGTGCAATSCTCACTTTCTTATCTAATCTCAACCGGAAACATGAAGTCCTCAGCATGGAGACGTTCGACAGGGGCAACAAGAGACATCCTCTGATAGTCCCGAGTGCGGTTTTTTGACTAATTTGCCTTTTTTCAGCTCATTTTACCCCAGGTGCTACCGACTAGATACTTACGAAACTTATTGCGTTGTTGTACTTTATATAAAACGATTTATACTCAAATAATAAGCAAATTTTTATTAATAAGTGAAGAGTAAACCACCAAAATGTTGAATATAAAATAAATAAATCAAAGAAAACCACATACATATTTCATCAACTGAGCTCGTATTTACTTTCAAATTGTGATTTCCGAGACCGAAATCACCTTTTCTTATCAGCATTGAAGCTACATACATACATATGTATATTAAAAAACATGCATATAAATAAGTATATATGGGGTGAATCCCAGCACACACAAACCTCCGCAACATTGGGATGCTTGATGTGGTATAAAAGCCCGCACAAATAGCAATCACCCAAAACAAARGCAACTTAGCTTCGAAGGCGAAGTCACGCTCGAATAGCTGTTAAAACACAACGCAATAAATTTACAAAATGAAAGTTTTTGTGCTCTTTGGTTTACTGCTAATTATTGCCGCCATGTTTAATKSTGCTGAGGCCTCACGAGACGCACGRCCAGTACGCCCAAGCATCAGTGCACCACCACCGAAGAGGGAAAGGCCAATCATTTACGACGCACCCATCAGAACTGGCAAGCCGAAAACTATGTACGCYTAAAATTTTAACTAAGAACGTTTAAAAAATWAATAAACAATAAAAACAAAAAACACTCCGGAGTTTCACATTTAAAGGTTTGCCATTTTTATTGCGTTAGCTSAATATTTATATATAATTCGATTTTGTAAATCGTTCAAAATGTTCAACACTGACATTCGGTAGGTTTATGAAGTTTGGAAACTTAACCAAAATAAAAAATACCAAAAGTGCAMAAAATCGGATGTTGTTGTTTTTCGTTCTTATATTATAATTGTGAAAGCTTTTTTAAAGCATTTGCTGCGGCTGCTTTTGTCCCGATRTCGACTTTCGAGCCGTTTAGTGATGTTACAGCTTCTAGCTTTTTGTGTTTACTTCTTAATATTCTCGAGGAAGGCCTTGTGGCGCTGGATGGCTTCTTCGTGTTCCTTGATTTGTTGAGCATGGAATTCAGCTTGGTGGATTTGATCGTTCTTCAAACGTTCGAGTTGTTCCTTTTGCTAAAAAAAARWAARYAAAYWAWTWAWT